GCTACTGGAAGGGTATTGATGGGGTGACTCCCATAAGCTTGGGCTGCAAGTGAACTGCCATACGCAGGCTAAAGCAAGGTTGGTCAGCACTGGCAAGTGCCCAGGAGCAGCAGAACACAGCGGAGAACCACTTCAGTGGGTGGGAGGGTGTGAAAGGCTTTTAGCTTGAGTGCTCCCCAGTTATTCAACTGCACTGGATCAGCGGCTTCCCTGATTCCAAGAGCTGCACCTCCGAAGGGTCAGAAGGAACACGTGGGACCCCCACACTCCTCTGTTCCTCTTCTGTTTGCCCCCTGCCCCCAAACTGTTGCCACAGGTAAGAAATGGTGCCAGATTGCCCCCAGTTACCGCAGGTTCCCATGGACGTGTCTGTGTTCCTCACCTGGAACGCGGGCAGGAATGTGTGGTTTGAATCCTGTCAGCTCTGCAGGTTTTCCTCTAGCACATGCCAGCCACCTCCATTGCGGCTTGCACCGCGGTATCTGAAGGAGGACGGGCACTTCAGTAGTGTTAGAGACGGTGATAGCCCCATAGAGCCTTTTCCTTTGTACCAGGAGTGGGGCTGTTGGTGATGTGGCAAGCACAGGATGACAAAGACCCCCCTAGTGCTTGCCTTGGCTATCTGCAGATGACCACTCCATCCCTTTGCAGCATGAGGGCCCCCCCGCCTCTAGAAAGCAACTGCTTGACACTGCAGGCACGCAAAGCCTGCTGTAACAGCTCCGTGCTGTGTTTGCTCCTTCTCTGCCAGCTTGCAGCGTGTGACGGGCTGGAGCGCCGTCCCGGATTACTTTGTGGGTCCAGCTTTCTTCCGTGGGAGGCTGTGGATCGAGCATCAGCCCCAGGACACGTTCCTGAAGCTCCAGGCAAGTCCTTTGTGTTTTCTGGATCAAGAGGTTTGGAAGCTGGGTGGTCTGGGCTCTGTTTAGTCTGTAGTGGTCCTGCTGGGAGAACACGGGCGATGCTGAGCCTGCAGAGCTGCTCCTCTATTGACAGTGTTTTCTGCTTGCTACTCTCTAGTTGCAGAGCACACCAAAGGAAGGAGGCACTGGTTTTAACCCTACCTGCTCAATGGGGCATGGAAAGAGGCACTTCTTTGTAGACGTGAGAGTTAGCATTCACTCACATCTTCCTTCTGTGGCTTATTGCTGCTCTTGCAGAGAACTCCAGCTATCGTTCAGCTTCCTTCTCTGATTTCATTCCCTTCGAGCCAGGGCTGATGCCAATCATTATTGTAGTGCTCCCTTTTCCAGTTATGCTTTGCTGTCAGTGCAGGATTTCTGTCACCTGGGAAATAGGTTCTGTGCCTGGGAAGAAATCACGATGTGTCTGTCAAAAGGATGAGGTTTTCCTGTACAAGCTTTGGAAGCTTTATCCTTTTCATTAGTGCTTTAGGGATAACTCCTGTTCAATGGGGCTTAAACGTTCCTGGCTTCAGGGAGAGCAAGCAGAAAACCTGCAGGAAGTGGCCTGGAAGAAGGCGAGTGTGAAGCAGACTGAATTCCCAGTGGGAATGCCAGGCAGGCAGTACAGCTGCCTCCGTAACGCGGTGTTCTCCTGGTTCTAGGGCTGGGAAAAGGGAGTTGTGTTTGTCAACGGGCAGAACCTGGGCCGCTACTGGAAGATCGGCCCTCAGGAAACACTCTACCTTCCTGGTCCCTGGCTACGGAAAGGGAGCAATGAGGTGAGAGCTTCCCCTTTGCTTGCTCGATGCAAGATCCTGCCCCGAGCCAGGTCCCAAAGAGCTGGACGTAGATCATGTATTGATTGCCTGTGTCCCAGCTGCAAAGCAGTGCAGCACAGAGGAAGGAGGCTGCTCTCTCCTAAGGTCTGGGAGATGAGGGATTGTGGCTCTGACAGCCGGTGAGACATGATGGGGATGGCAGCTCGACTTCAAAGCCATCACGTTCCAAATCAAGGCAAAGCTGATTTGGTTCATGTTCAGCAGCGTGTGGTGCTGAAGGATCCCAGTCACTGCTCAGAGCTCTCTCTAAGTGCTGCTGCCTTCCCCTACTGGGATCGTGTGCCTTTTCCTCCTCAAACTGCTGACAGTAACCTTGTGTGAGCAATGGTTTTGTGTCCCTTTCTTCTGCAGATTGTCATTTTTGAGGAGCGCACTGCAGGAAGGATCATACAGTCTGTGGACATTCCTTATTTAGGAAGGACCCAGTATGTGGACTGATGAGAGCTTCTTCCCCATGTTTGGTTCACCTTGAACATTCCTGGTTGCATGGCTGGGATGTGATGGTCCAGGCACTTGGGCATGTTAAATCCCACTAGACCCAGGTAAAGGATTTACGCTTTGGCAGTAAGTTCAGAAGAGAGAATGGGCCCTCAAGGTGGGTCTGTTGTTTCATAGATGGATGTGGAAGCTCATCTCCCTGGACTACTGAGGACCCACAGCTTGGGTGGCTGCGCATGATGCTATGGACAGCCTGAATGTGGGAGAGTCAAAGTGCTAGAGGCAGGAGAAGGAGAGAGAAAGAACTGAAACCACCCAAACTGAAAGCTGAGCCCAGCTCCCCAGTGACTTGCAAGATGTGTTGTTATTGGCCTCCTCGTTTCTATCATTAGATAGTGAGAAAATAGTTGGTGAACATGGGAGGAACGAGGTGTGGAGAACTCAGCAACTCACTCTGCAAAGAGGCCGTTTCCTTGTTCACTCGTTGGAAGCCAGGCTGTTGTCAGATGGCTTTAATTCAAGCTGTTTTCCCACTCAGTTTTACTCTGGAGGTTTGTGTCTCTCTCAAAAAGGATTAAAAAGGGTTTGAAGAAGTGACCTGTGTGTTGTCCCCTGTCGAACACATCAGTGTGTTTCAGGCAGGAATGAGAACTTGCAAGGAGGAGAAAGGACCGGTTCCTTTTCAGTCATCCCTCCTCTCTGCTCACGCTGGGAAGCACCTGAAGGTGAAATCCCCCCTTGTAAAAGGAGCAGGGATCAGGTTTGGGTTGGGATAGAAGGGATTGCAAGGGGGAGAGCACATCTGTTCTTCCCAGTTAAACCCGCTGTGAAAGCTTGGCATCTTGGGTCCTGTGTCCTTTTTGTCCCTCAAAGAGAAACCCAGGATGTAGGGAATCGTGAGCTGTTGGGTTTAACCCCCCTGCCCAGCAGTCACTGAGCAGCTGCCACCTCTTTAGACCAAATTCCAGCTGGGAATCTCCGAGAAGCCGCTCAGCCCCAGTGACCAGAGGGGCCGGGCTATGAGGGAAGCAGTTCAGGGGCTGCTGGCTCTTAGAAACCATTGTTTTATTAACAAATGTCAATAGAGTTTGTTTCAAAGTGAGGACAGCGCAGCTGGAACACCCTGCATCCACCCTGCTCCCACCCAACACACAGCTCTGCGCCCCGGCACCGCTGCTGCCCTCTCCGCACGTTGGAAGGGCCCAGGCTGGTGGCACCAGCTTGCAGGAGGATGGAGCACGTATGGATGTGTTCAGGACTTGAGCCTTTCCCTGCCTCTGGAAGCGATTCCCTTCCAAGGAGGGAAGGTTGCAACTCGGCAGGGATTGGGGTTAAGAGGAGTGAAACCAAACATGCAGCCGGGAGAGGACGCAGCACTTGGAAACGATTCCAGTGGCACGAACACTTGCTGCGGTCCTTTAAGTGTCTCTTTGCACTCTAGGCTTTGCAGACTGAAGTGAACTTGGAGTCAATCTGCTTTAATAGAACACCCCCCAATTCCCATAGAGCAGCCAGCAGCTCTCTAGCCAAGTAGCTCTTCAGCCAGTGCACCTAAAGGAGCATTTCTGTAAGGCTTCGGGACTGGGAGCTGGGGAATGCCACTCTTCCCAAGGGATGGATACACAGTGGGAGAAAATAACTTACCAAAAATAGATTGTTTGAGATCTGAGGAGATACACCACGTCTGCAGGGTTACTTTTCCCCTCAATTCAAAGGTAAAATTGTGCTTCAGACCTTTTTGAAGGAATTGGGACAACGGTGGGAAGGGTTGATCAAAGGTTTAAATACAGCAGGAAGGGGGAGGTAAGTTCTGGGGGTTGTTAATGGGGAGGAGGGAGGTGGTGTACCTCAATGTGTTCCTCAGCAAGGGTGTCAGTCTATCAAACAGAGCTACCCAAGGTAGCAGCACCCAGGTTCCTCTGCAGTGCTCAGTCCTGTGTCTCACTGAGGAGCAGAGCACAGTTTCATCAGAGACCACGCTTCCATCAGTGCCATCTCGGGTCCTCTGATGTTCAGAACACACTAGAGGTGACTCACGTTTTACAGGGATAGTTTATCAACCTACCTCGAGCCAGGCGCTGAAGAGCACTAAGCACAGGAGCCCTTTCCAAGGGTGCTGCTCTATCACAAGTTACCTCTGGAACTGCTCCAGCAGCTCTGCAGTAGTGGGGCCCGGCTCTGAGCAAGGGGCTGGGGCTGAAGCATACATCCCGGTATGCACTAAAATCGGCTTTTATCATTAAATCCCTCATTTTAAGCAGTTAACATTTTTTAAGGGTGGAAATTAGGCTTTGGGGAAGAGAATCCCACACCCAACGCTCACATGAACCAGGATTTGAGACTGGATCAGGGATTATAGTGTATGGCCACACCACTCTGGTTAAAACCCACTCCCAACTGCTTTAGCATGGATGAACAGCGAACCCCATGCTGTAACCATAAATCCATCCAGGAATGACCCTGGAGCATGAGCAGCAGCTCAGGGAGGGGATCCTGCCCCTCTGCTGTGCTCTGAGACCCCCCCCCCCGCAGCCCTGATCCAGCTCTGGGGCAGCAGCACAAGAGGGACCTGGAGCTGTTGGATGAGCCCAGAGGAGGCCATGGGGATGCTGCGAGGGCTGGAGCAGCTCTGCTCTGGAGCCAGGCTGAGAGAGCTGGGCTGGGGCAGCCTGGAGAAGAGAAGGCTCCTGAAGGGGAGACCTTAGAGCAGCTCCAGTGCCTGAAGGGGCTGCAGGAAAGCTGGAGAGGGGCTTGGGACAAGGGATGTAGGGACAGGCCAAGGGGAATGGTGTAAAATAAAAGAGGGGAGATTTAGACGAGATAAAAGGAAGAATTTCTTTAACAATGAGGGTGCTGAGGCGCTGGCACAGGGTGCCCAGAGAAGCTGTGGCTGCCCCATCCCTGGCAGTGTTCAAGGCCAGGTTGGACACAGGGGCTTGGAGCAAGCTGCTCTAGTGGAAGGGGTCCCTGCCCGTGGCAGGGCTTGGGACTGGGTGAGCTCTAAGGTCCCTTCCAACCCAAACCATTCTATGAACACAGAGGTACATCAGTGCCCCCCAAACCGTGAAACTAATGAAGGGAAAGGAGAGGGAATACAAAGAGAACAGAGATATTTCTTGGGCCTGTTCTAACCCGCCTTGCCTTTCAGCCTCCCTCAAACCCTTCCTGTCTTGTAATGAACACTGATTGAAGTAGGTTTCGAAGGAAGGGCTAAGGTGCCATCTCAGAAGGCGGCTGTCCCCTCCACGAGCAGGGAGCTCTTAGGCACGCACAGCCACAAGGTACACGTGTCTCAGAAACAAGTCACCAGGGGCCAGCATGCTCCTGTGGCCATCCTCACCCTCGCCTTCAGGTCCTGTGGAACAGCCCCTTCGGTCTAACCCACCATCGCAACGGTGCCACGGCCTCAGTGCCTCCTGCCCTGCATCCACTGCTCCCGAACCGAGCATCTCCTCTCGCAAGGCAGTTGCTCTGGTACCAAAGATGATGGCAGTCCTGTGTTTTCTGTGCTTTTTCTCCACCTCCAGCGTCTGGTTGTTCTCAGAGTCCAGGAGGAAGGGCAGGGGAACCTGGGCAGTTCATGGATGCAGTGGTGCTTGTTTGCAGTACACTAAGAACTCCTGGAAGTCAGCAGAGGTCCTGGCTACTGCGCGTCTGGCTGCTTGGATGCTGTAGAGAGGAGCTTTGCAGGCTGTGCATGAAGAGATCTGCAACAGAGACACAAGTAGCATGTATATCACCCTCCTGCCTCGCTGCAGTCAGCTGCCACCCCTTGGAGCTAGCCCAAACCCCATCTCGGATCCGGAGTACTGCTGCTAGGCAACTGGGTGCTGGTGACAAGGAGTTGTGACAGCGCCGGAGAGCTGTGGCCTCTCTGCAAAGCTGCTATATATAGTGCAGCTGATGTGCTCTCCTCTGCTGGCCTGCCAGTGGGCTGCCAAAAGAGGGCCAGTGCAGCAGGCAGGGCTCCAGCCGCTCAGCCTGAGGGCATGGGCTGTCCGAGAGCTCACTGCTGGGGTAAACACACTGCTGCTGAGCACGGGGACCCTTCCCTTTGCTGCTGAGCGCATGGACCCTTCCCTTTGCTGCTGAGCGCATGGACCCTTCCCTTTGCTGCTGAGCCCATGGACCCTTCCCTTTGCTGCTGAGCCCATGGACCCTTCCCTTTGCTGCTGAGCCCATGGACCCTTCCCTTTGCTGCTGAGCCCATGGACCCTTCCCTTTGCTGCTGAGCCCATGGACCCTTCCCTTTGCTGCTGAGCACATGGACCCTTCCCTTTGCTGCTGAGCCCATGGACCCTTCCCTTTGCTGCTGAGCACGGGGACCCTTCCCTTTGCTGCTGAGCACGGGGACCCTTCCCTTTGCTGCTGAGCACGGGGACCCTTCCCTTTGCTGCTGAGCCCATGGACCCTTCCCTTTGCTGCTGAGCCCATGGACCCTTCCCTTTGCTGCTGAGCACATGGACCCTTCCCTTTGCTGCTGAGCACATGGACCCTTCCCTTTGCTGCTGAGCACATGGACCCTTCCCTTTGCTGCTGAGCACATGGACCCTTCCCTTTGCTGCTGAGCACGGGGACCCTTCCCTTTGCTGCTGAGCACAAGGACCCTTCCCTTTGCTGCTGAGCACGGGGACCCTTCCCTTTGCTGCTGAGCACATGGACCCTTCCCTTTGCTGCTGAGCACGGGGACCCCTTTGCTGCTGAGCCCATGGACCCTTCCCTTTGCTGCTGAGCCCATGGACCCTTCCCTTTGCTGCTGAGCACGGGGACCCTTCCCTTTGCTGCTGAGCCCATGGACCCTTCCCTTTGCTGCTGAGCCCATGGACCCTTCCCTTTGCTGCTGAGCACAGGGACCCTTCCCTTTGCTGCTGAGCCCATGGACCCTTCCCTTTGCTGCTGAGCCCATGGACCCTTCCCTTTGCTGTGCTTACTTCCCTGTATTCCAGAGAACAAGCAGCAGCTCCCTCTCCCCTCAGTCCTGGTGGTGCACTCCAGTTAAAGGGAGCTGTGCATTTATTTTTCCCTATAATCATGAAATGCAGCAACACGGTTTGGATGTAGATAGGAGCGAACAGTCCATCCTCCACTTCAGCAAACCAACTGCAGCCGAAGTGCACATCCTGCACCCTTGTGCTTTGGCTCTATTAGTACAGTTCATAAGGCAACCTTGTTGTTTGGGCAGAGGTTTGGTTATTTAAGCAAGTAACCTGTGCCTAAGCTCTCCTCCCCTGGTTTTCTCCCTCCTTCAGCAGCTTGTCTTGAAGATCAAATAGAGATTCTCTACTTGTCTCAGGACGTTCTGCACAAGGGGAAGGTCAGAATGTGAGAAATGGCACTGAAAAAGCACGTTTAGAAGGTTACTGCCTGGTGTTCTCCTCCCGTTAGGGTCCAGATCCGAGAGCTCTCACCTCCCGTTGGTCTCCGTTCAGCCACGCAGTCAGATTTCCACGTTGGGATCTGTGAATCCTTTCTTCCCCTCATTCACCAGCACCGGCTTCTCTGTCCTCGTGTGCCAGACCAGGATCTGAGGAAGCAACAGAAGTCATTGCCTGTGCTAACAACTCTTCCTGCGCCTTCCATCAATGGTGCGGTTTCACCGCCTACCCTGGTGCACCCAGAGCCCCGGAACAGCGCATCTCACAGTGTGCTGCCTTGGGACATTAACCTGCTCCTTCCAGGGAGCCAGCAACCAAGAGGCTCAGCATCCCTCGCAGTGATGTAAGGCAGCTCCCTCATAAGCACGTGTGCTCCCCACAGAGCCACCTCCTTCCTCCTGTTACTACCCCCTTGGCCAGTGTGGAAACAGTAAAGGGAGTTTTTCAGTGCATCCTGATCATCCATCGCTGCAGGGAAGCCCTGGATGCAGGAGGTAGGTGCAGAACACTCCCCACCTTCCACATGCACGTGGCCCTTCCAGAACCCAGCAAGCATTTGTCTGCCAGATCACCCCAAAACCCCGTACACGTCTCTTGGTGTGCTGGCCTCGCACTGCCGCTATCTGTACCATGTACAATGCGTCGCTTAAAGCCCCTCTCCAGCTTAAACCAGAACTGAAGCTTCTGCTAAAGCATCCCTAAGGTCTTAGCAGCAAAACGCAATATAGAATCACGAGATGGTTCGGATTGAAGTCCCTCTCCAGGTTTCCTGTAGGCCCTTTAGGCACTGGAAGACTGTTTAGGGATGACCCTCTGTGGATGAGAGCTGGAATCCATATAAGCTGAAGAGGAGGGTTACAGGTAAGCAGCCTCAGGCAGCTGTGCCATTCTGCTGCATGGAAGCTCATGGAACCCTCTCCCGTCACCGGGCTCAATTACACTCATTGCTTTGCTCCCAGAACCTGGATTGCTGGGAGCAGCCCCATCCCTTCACTTACAGCTTCCTGCTTCCCTTCACCTGCTCTCGCTGATGTTTGCTGCCTTGCCGGGGTTTCCCCTTGTTGCTATGACAATGCTCTGCACGGTTAATCCAGGGATGTGCAATCCCATACCCAGGCCCTGCTCTTTGGGAGGAAACAAGGGCATGTTCTGCTTCTAAAGGATGAACAAAGCCCTTTGAAAACCCCTCAGTTAAACAGGAGCACCCCAAGAACCTGTTGGGCCTCTGGCATGAGCCATCACCTCCTGTGCAGGGCTCAGATCTCACCAACTGGGGCAATAGAGACCGGCTGCTGCCTGGAGCTGGTCCAAAGCCCTGTTTCATTGCTCCCCATAAGCCTGTTCATCCATGGCAGACGTTGCCTTTTAACAGGAAATGAGAAAGCCGACAGGCAAGTTGACCTGGAGGGGTTGCAGTGGCTCTTGTTTGAGATGGGGACTATACAGCATGAAGGAAAAGAGACACCGAGCTGCAGTGACAGCTTAGCTTCCTCCCAGCTTGTGCTAACCTGAGTTCCTGCATCTCTAAGGCTCTCTTCAGCATTGTGGAGATCCTCTTCCCCCAGAGCACACCCACTGGTGTAACAAACACAGCTCACTTCTCCTGTAACTCTTGCTTTTCTTCCGTGTCAAGCGAATCGAGGCCACTGCTATTAAATGAGCTCAAACTAATCTTGAGCTGCGCTTTGTGCCTTGGGATGGGTGTTAGAGACGGAACACACCGGACCACGAGAGAAGAAAAGGTTACAGCAACCTGATTCGAGCTACTGCAGCTGCAGCAGAGAGCTCCATGTCGAGTGCAGGCAGAGAGGGCTGCAGCATCCGAGCTCCTCGGGTGTAAATGACAGCTTTACAGGGGACGGCATTGCAGAGCAGTGCTGCTGGTCCCCAAGCACGTCATGGAGAACCCTCCATGCCTGCCATTCACACCCACCTACATGAAAGGGGGGGGGGAAGCCAAGTGATGGAAGGATGGGGCCGACGAGGCTTTGTGCGCTGGGGTGAGGAGCAGACCGTACCTTGGTGCAGTTGGCAGCTTTGGGCTCCAGGTCGTTGAGGGTGACGAGCTCCCGGAGCAGGCTGCTCTCCTGGTAGCCCCCCTTGACTCCCCGCAGCTTGAAGTACGCCTGAGGTCTGTGGAGGATGAGCCTGAGGTTCACAGCGAAGCCGGCCATGTCTATAGCGAAGGGGCGGTGCGGGTCGAACACCGTCTTCCAGCCATAGACCTTGCCGGCGGCGTTCACGCGGGGCGACTCGTAGCGCAGCCCTCCAACAAAGGCCACCGGCCACACCGACACCTTCCTGGTGCTGCGCATCTGCAGGGGCACAGAGGGGTGAGCTGCAGGGGCTGCCCGCATCCTGCTCGGCACCGCCTCCAGAGACAAGAACCTCGGCTGTGCTCCCGAGCCGCGGAGCTCGACGCTCACCGCTACGAGGATGAGCACCGGGAGCTGCAGAAGCAAAGTGGCACCGTAGGAATGGAGCTGAAACGAGCATAGAACCATGGAACGGGTTGGGGTGGCTTAAAGCTCATCCAGTTCCAACCGTGGACACCTCCCACTAGAGCAGCTTGCTCCAAGCCCTGGCTGTGAAGCTGAGCACTAACCCCTGAGCTGCCAATAATAACCGTAACAGACTGAAGAGTGGGGTTTTGTCCAAAGGCTTTAGAGCTGTGGGGCATCATTGCCCCGCACGGACAGCACAGGGCACATAGGAGGGAAGCAGGAGTGGCATATCTAGGAAGCAGGGTGATAGCTAAGGAGTCTGAGCTGCAGTCTCAGCCTGTGATGCAGAGCAAGACTCAAAGCATCTCTAGAGTGAGGCACTGCAGCTGCAGCCCACACCTCAGGGCCAGCTGAGCCTCTCCAGAAGCTCCCAGCCTGCAGGATGGGGCTTTGTACCTGCTCCTACCTGCCTTGGAATGGTGCTGGATGCCTCCCCGCCCTGCAGAGTCAACAGGCACAGACAGGAGCCACGAGGGGCCACTCGAGATGCCTGCACTTGCCAAGGCAGATGCTCTGAATGCCGGGCTGCCCCCTCACCCAGGCCCTCTCTGCTGGCAGGCTCAGCCCAGCCTCTCAGCTCAGGGATGTCCCAGAGCTAATCTCATCCCTGCCAATGGCAGCAAACAAGACCAGAGGAGCTCTGGTGCTTGCCCTCCTGCGTTATAGACAGGCTAAGAGCAGCCCCTGCCCACGGGGGACGCTGGTGCGTGTCTTCTGCATTTCACAGCACGTTCCAGCAGCTCCGTGTGACCTTAAACTGCAGCTCCGCATGGGAGAGAAACCTCTGCAAGCAGAGCCCGCAGGGGAATGGAGGAACCCTTTCTGCTTTATTCACGTGTGGTGTCTGTCCCGAGATGCTGCCAGAGCCAGGCTCAAAGGGGACCGTGGAAGAAAGGCATTCATCTGGATTTGCTTCCAGCTTTAAAAGCTGCATATTCCTGCGGCTATCGAAGCTAAAGTGAAAGGCACCAGGGGAGGGAAAGGAGGCAGGTGTGGAGCAAACAAACAGGAGCTCCCTGCTATGGAACTTGGCAGCTGCTGGGGAAGGAAGCAGTCCCCCGTTCTCCCTTGCTGCAACACAGCCCTTTCCAAGGCAGTGTGAAGGGCTCCACCTCCCCGGGAGAAGGACCAAGCCCAAACCCGTGCTCCAAGTGTGTGCAGCAAGGCAGAGCCATTGGGGAAGATGTCCTGCATGACACCACACAAGTGTAGCGCTGAAAGGGCACTGGTGCCTTTCAGTGCAGAGCAGGCACCGTGCTCCTGACGGCTCCAGGATTCAACCAGTGGGCACTGTGGGATGAGAGCAAGGATGTGCAAAGAGCAAGCAGGGAGGAGAAACCCCAGGAACTCCTCAGACAAGAACAAACACCAACTCACAGGCAGGCAAGTGCAATACAGAGGGATGGTGGAGGAGAAAAGTGGGTAACATCAGCCCAGGAACCAGCTGGGAATCTGCTCCAGGGCGGTGCATGGAAGGAGGGTGGATGTATGTGTTGTGATGTTCCACTCCTCCAGGACTCCCCGCAGGGGAAGGCAGCTCCTCCTTAGCTTTCTTTACAGTAAAACCTACCCGATTTCATGGCACCGGGGTTCCCATCATTTCCCACAGGACGACCGTGGTCCAAGAGCTCAGGAGAGGATGCACACAGCATCCCCTCGGCTCAATACACAGCATCCTTTACCCGCCACGTCCCAGGCTGCAGGTGAGCCCAGCAGGGTCTTACCTCCTCAAAGAGCTCCAGGCTGTAGGTGTTGTCGTCGTCGGCGAAGTACACGATGCCGGGCTGGCTGCTGTTCTTGTTGAAGGTCTCCCTGAGCCACCTCAGGGCGAGGTTCCTCTGCATGGTCCCGCGGGGGATGCGGGGGTCCCGCATGTCCCCCCGCAGCTTGTAGTTGCGCGGGGTCTCCACGTTGAGGTGGGTGTAGTTGAGCCCCGTGTCCCGCAGCAGGCGGGTGATGAGGGGCGTGCGGCGCTGGGAGTCCTCCACCAGGATCCAGTGCAGGTTGGGGACGTGCAGGAGGGTGTTGGCCAGGCGGGTCAGCTCTGCCTTCTGCACGGGCCGGCTGTAGGTGGGGGTGACGACGTGGATGGTGGGGAGGGTGTCTGACCACGGGGGCGGGCGGGTGTAAACATACTCTGTCCTCACCACCTCCACTATGTCCCGCTCCGACAGGCAGTATTCCTTGGAGTCCAAGCCTGCAGCGAGATCACGCTGGGAGTCACCACCATCATCTGAGCAAGGGTACGAGAGAGAAGAAAGAGCTGCATGGACTCAGTCCTCCAGCATCCCCCCCCCCCCAACCCGGCTGAGCCCGCAGGCTGGTTGCTAATAGCAGGTCACCCTCCTGGGTGCAGAGGACGGGAAACAAGCTCGGATGGAGGCTTCCATCAATACATAAATAAATAAAGGCATCGGGGACAAACACACAGGAGGAAAGAGGGTTCTGCTGTTAGAAAAGCAGCACCAAGCAAGGCCTGAGTGCTCAGAGCAACTTCCACAAGCGCCCAGAATCAGAGTACCAGGCTGGAAGTGACCTCGAGGACCACCCGGTCCAACGTTTCCAGGCAAAGCTACAGAGGAGACAGGCTTTTGTTGTACAGCACTCAGATCTAGGTAAAGAAAACAGCAATGGGGATGGATGAGGTGTCATTCCCAAAGGGATCCAGTGCTCTGGGTACCACGTTCAGTGGGACAGGACACCGGAACACCTGGACTGGGAGGCAGGGAGCTAACTGGTGGTAATAGCAAGGCAGTGAAGATCTCCCAGCAGCATCACCTTGTGCGACTCTGCAGCACTGACAGGCCTGGGATGGGGCATGCGGAAGCAGGGAAAGACACACTTTGAATCCAGAGATGGAGAGGGGAATCAAAGGCATTGTTCTGCAGAGACCCTCAGGAAGGCCCTCCCAGTCTCTGAGCATCACACTCAGCAGAGCAGAGTGAACAATAGACAGCATGCACATAGGATACAATGATCCAAACCATTCCTTGCAAACAAAACCCTTCTTATTCAGCTGAAGGGAAGAAAAGATCCTGCCCCTGTTGCTTTCCCAGGGTGTACCACTGCAGAGCAGCAGGAACACCACAGTCTGCAGTCAGGAGCTGCAGAGGTGAAGGGACACTTCCATTGTGTCTGAGGCAGCTGCTCTCTAGTGGGCACATCCTACTTGGGTTTGCAAACCGAGCGACCACCAGATGAGAAAGAAGAGGCCAGCCATTAGATGTGACCCAGCAGGGTCATAGCATGTTACCCTTCCAGCATCACTGACTTTGATAGCAGCCTTGAACTGAATGAAGGCCTCCAACTCCATGGCGCTGATGGAGGGAGATGTGTCTGTCTGGTGGGGATGGACAGGGATGAGGTGCCTGCACATGCTGGTACGAGGCAAAGCGCATCAGCAGACTGAACTGACAATTCCAAGTGTTCAGCCAAGGAAGAAGCATCTTTGGAGGGTGGGTACAAACATGACATTGAAAAGGGGAAAGAATCCTCCATAGAAAAGGACCAGAGAGGGGAAATGAAGTGGCTTTCTTCCCCTCACACAAGCCTCCCCATAATGACCTGCAGCAGAAGGGCAGAGTCAAGAATGAAGCCTGCAAGAGCTCTCACAGCCTATAGGTACTGCTGCTGTGCCAAGAGCAGGGTAAAAACTAGGACCTTCTGGCCAGAGGGGATCCCTCAGAACTTCCTGCATCAACCTGATTTGGGCCAGGGCTCTGTTTAATGCTTTGTGTGACAGGTAGCGTGGGAGCTGATGCTCTCATAGCGTTGGTACTGCACAGACACTCAGGTGAGAGGCTGCCTCTTGCCTTCTTCAAGTGCAGGAGCACCAGTTGGCTGCTTTCCTGAGGACACTTACGGATGCTCTTTGCCTCCCGTCTCCCAGAGCTGTCTCAAGTGGCAGCTTTGTTTCCTCTGCTCTCTTGCTTCTGCAGCTTTCCTGCTCAACTGACTTGTGCGCAGAGACAGCAGGAAGGGACTCCTCTGCTGCGGATCATCATCCAACCAGAGCAAAGAAAAGCATCTTCCTTCAGAACCCTGGATATAGGCCACAGATTGCTCTCCAAGTGCAGTAAGCACACCCCATGGCTTGGAGTTTGATGTGTGTGAAGAACCTCTGTGAGCACTGGGCTGCTCCTACAGCACAGGTGGGGAGGCTCCTGCATGAGCATGGACTGGGAGCTGAGATGAGCATGGCTGCCATGGGGAAATGAAATGAGGGAGGAGATGAGGACGAGGGAGGGATGCACAGACCGGGCATGGGCTGGTTTGAGTTCTCTCACCCTTGTGCACTGCAAGCAGTGGAGCAATGGTGCTCTGGTGCCAGACGGTGATTAGCAGTGTCCAGGGCAGAACTATCAGCACGATAGCCAGGATGTCTCGTCTCTTCGGCATCTCCAAGACTGACTGGACCCACAGCTCCTCATTACCTGACAGTGAGAACCCCAGAGACAGAACAGCAGAGCACATGGAGAATAGAAATAAATGGGCAGGAAGGAACAAGGACACAAGAGAGCGAACGCGAGAAGGAGAGAGCAGCAGCGGCGACACGACTCGTGGGTCTTACCAGTGCTTACAACCCACCCATTGCAGAAGCAGGTTTGGAGGGGCCTCGGCTGCTGACACCCGGAGCAGGAGGGCACTTCTGCAGCGCAGTGTGGAGCTGGCAGCCTCAGGGACTCACGTGGAAGGAAACCTGCAACACAGCACAGAGGTGAGGAGGCAGAGAAGAGCACTGTGGAGCTGCTGCACAGGGCTCGCAGCCCTCCTCAGGAAGAGCAAATCAAAGCTGGGCACTGAGCAGCAGCAGCAGCAGCAGCAGCGTGTCCCAGCCCTCCAGCGTGCTCAGAGCCTTGCTTCCCTTCACATCCACCTCCTCAAGCAGAAGCTGCTCGGTGCTGCATCACTGCTTGACCATGCCCAGCAGAAGAGGACCCTTCATCCCCCAGCCAGCCAAGCCTCACACCACCACGTGCCAGGCCCATGCCCTGGGAGGAAGCAGGGACCATAATGATCCTGTGACCCACCAGACCCCCTCCCTAGGCCAGGCAGAGCACTTGGGCTGCCTGTGCCTGCTCCCTTGGGAATACAGCTCCAGTGAACTGGTGACCCTGTGTTTTGCCCATCACCATCTTCCCCTCAGCTCAGACCATCCCACTGGCATCTCTGAGGCAGCTCAGGCTTCCAATGGCTCATTTCTTCCATCTCAGGGGTGTTGCAACTGGAGCATATTAAGCTGCCACGATGGCTCAGGCTGATTCAGTGTAAGCCCATACAACATTTAAGCAGACTGTGTTTTATCCAAGTGTCTCGGCAAACAAAGTACATCACTTAGGGATACACGCGATGGACACTCTGCAAACATGGGTACCACTTTAGTAGCACTGCTCCCATGCGGGGCAAGGCATTAACCTGCTGCTAAAAGGGCTGCAGAGAGATGCTAAAAGAGTGCTGGAGAGATGCAGGCTCAAATCCCTGATTTGGCTACATGTGGGTTTCCTTGGCTGTGCCTTGACTATAGAGTCAGCCTCTGAACACTGAGCCCAGCAGAAGACCTGAAGTGAAGCGGCTCCAAGAAGCCATGGCTTGTCCTTTCGGAGCGGGATTCAAGTTGCTGGACACAACCAGATCAGCACTTCAGTCACAGAGGGGTTAACTTACCAGGGAAAACAAGGGGAACCTGCTACCTCCCATAGAGAAACCTGTGCCAGGGATCATCTATGGAGCTGGGGACCCATCCACCTCCCATGCACCCACCCTGGTAGGGTCTCCAGCAGCAAGAAGCCCCCAAACACACCTGGTTCTACAGAGAGGCAGGTTTCCTGCAGGGAAGAACAGGGAAGCAGCAGGGAACAGCTTTCACAGCTCAAGGAGCTGCTCGGTGCAGCCGCTTTCAGGGAAGCATCTCTCAGCAATGCGGATTTGTCCCTATTTATGGTCAGGACTGGAGAAAGCAGCCAGGGAGGAAGAAGAGGAGTTATTCCAGCGCATCCCAGCCTGCTGCTGCATCCCTTCTCCAGCCCTGTGAGCCAGAGACATCCCGCTGGCCCCACGCTGCCAAAGCACACAGTGCCCTCAGGAAAGAGCATCTGGCCTCATCCTTGCTGTCCCTGCAGTTGCTGTCAGTGCCCCGACAGAGGACACTGGGAATCCTCTCATGCATCCCTTGGGCATCCCTATAGGGCAGAGCTGGAAGGGGTGGCTTTGACAAGCCTGCCCACCTTAGCTAGCTGCAAATGCATCCAGGGAAGGCCTCGGGCACTTAGAGGGGCTGGGAGGAAAGGACAAGCAAAAAGAGCTGCTCAGAGTCAATGCAGAGCTCTGGCAAGCTGCCACAGTGGCTGGCATGCAGCAAATGGCCCTTTGTCAAGGGCAGCTTCCTCCCAGCACAGCGCTCGTACCTTAAAGATGCCTTTTCCCTGCCTCCTGCCAAGCCAGCATCCTCCCACAGGACAAGGCTGAGCCTGGGCTTCCTAGGATGGAGCTCTTCCTCTCCGTGTCCTTCTGGGGCTGGCTGAGCTCCCTTTGCAGCACCAAACCACGGGCTGCAGGGGTGAATGAGGTACCCGCACACAGCGACTGTTCCTGATGTTCCTTCCCTGCACACAGCACACTCCGCATGCCCAAAGGGACACAGTAGGGATCCCAACAGCAGATGGTGATTGTCTGCGCCCCTCACTGGGAGAGAGACATTGAGGGGACCTTGTTGCTCTCTACAACTGCCTGACAGGAGGATGGAGCCAGGAGGGGGCTGGTCTCTGCTCCCAAGGACCAAGGGAATGGTTTACATCCTGGTTGATCCTATGATTCCATGGCTGGGGGAGAACGTGAGGACACAGCCAGCGCCTTCTGCGTGTGGGATCCGCTGCTCTGCAGCAAAGCCGTTTGCTCGCTGTTAATCCCTGGAGTGATCCGAGAAGCCTGACTGAAGGACATGGGGAGAACTCCCATGGGGCTGCCGTGAGCAGCAGCAGCAAACCTGGATCCAAAGTATTTCCAGCGTGAGGCCAGTTCCCACTGTTCCAAAGCCACGCTCCTGCCTCACCAGCACGTGCTAAGGGGTGAAATCCATTTGCTGCTGTGAACAGCATCAGCCAGGATCCCATGGTTGTACCCTGCTGGTGACAGCAGTCGCAGCTTCACGGTCCAACAAAGAGGGCTTGCTCTGCAGCAGAGCCCCCAAACCCGTGGTGCCCAAGTAAATGATGCTTTTTGCTGCTCTTTATGGCCCAAGGGAGGCTTGCCAAGAATTAGAATGGGAAAGACGATGCTCCTCCTCCAGGTATTCGCTCCGTCCCTTCCCCATCACGTACAACTCTCCTTTTCCCAGTGCATAGCTTTAAACCCAAACCTGCCTTTGTTCAGATTGTCCATGTGAGGCTCCTGCTACCTCCTCCTCTGCAGGGAAAAGGAGGAACAAAGTGAAACAGGAAGTAATGGAAAGAATACTTCCTTTTTTTTTTAGGCAAAAGACACAAATCCCCAGCTTTTGAGTGATTTGGGGGTTAAAACACTTCTAACCCAAAGGCGTTTGGCATGGCTGGAGCAGGGATCTCTTCCAACAGGCTGGAAGCAGAAGGGCTGTGGCACACGGTGGCAGAGATTCCCCATTCTCCGGCAGAGGGCAATGGTGTCAAGGCATGACAGTAGGGAAAGGGCGTTCATCTGGTAACGCAGCTGTAATAAACCCTGGAGCCACGCGTTGGGAACCGGCTGGGTTGTCAAACACCGAAGGTTCGTCTTCAAAATGGAGTGAATTTGCCTCCTTGCTGTAGGAAACACGGATTCCACCTGCAAGCCGGTTGTAGTTATCCCTTCTTCCGTCCTGTGGGGCTGGTGAGTGTCATTACTCCTTGGTTTTCCTCCCATGGAACAGGAGTGATTTAGAACATGTTCACCTAAAGACTTGCTTGGGTTGAGTTTGTGTGGATGGATGGATGGATGGATGGATGGATGGATGGATGGATGGATGGATGGATGGATGGATGGATGGATTAGATAGATAGATAGATAGATAGATAGATAGGTAGATAGATAGATAGATAGATAGATAGATAGATAGATAGATAGATAGATAGATAGATAGATAGATAGATGGATGATAGATGATAGATAATGATAGATAGATAGATGATAGATAGATGATAGATGATAGATAGATAGATAAATAGATAGGTAGATGATAGATGTCACTGGAGTTGACTAGATGCCTAGATGTAAGAAAAACACGGACAACCCCCCCAAACAAACACAGTCAAACACTTCCTTGCATTACAACCAGCCAGGAAATAGCACACACCGTGGCAGATCCTGCAACAAAAGCTTTACAAAGCAAATGAACACATCAGGATACAAAGCATGTTCTCACCGATAGCTTTTCCCCCTGAGCAAAGTGTCCCTGAACCTAAACACAGGGTTCCTCTCACCCTGGGGATGGGAACAGGTCTGATCCCTGCTGGACAATGGCCCCTGACCAGGATAAAGTGCATCTCCAGCCCAGCAGACACTGGGGACACGGGCACTGTCACAAAGCCTCTGTCAGAGATGCTGGTGTTTGGCAGCAAAGGTCTGTAAAGCACAGGCTAAGAAGAAAGGCGGTGATAACTCTTGCTCACTAGTTACTCCATAAGCCATTAATGCCAACAACCCCATAACTTTAATGGGGGCTGTTATCAGTGTAGTAGCAAAGCTGCGGAGCTAATTGCTGTTTAGTTATTAAGCAGAACATGGAGCTGAGTAATGAGCACATGGAATTGCTTGTTCTTCCAGGGCTTCTTCCCTGTGAGGGTGCTGAGGTGCTGGCACAGGGTGCCCAGAGAAGCTGTGGCTGCCCCATCCCTGGCAGTGTTCAAGGCCAGGTTGGACACAGGGAGCAAGCTGCTCCAGTGGAAGGTTTCCCTGCCCATGGAACTGGATGAGCTTTAAGGTCCTTTCCAACTCAACCCAGGCTGGGATTCTCTGAGCCCCCCCCCCCCAGAGGGTTGCACATCACCGCGACCAGCCTTGCACTGGAGCTGATTTGCACATCCCAAAGCTGGAATTGCAAGTCAAGAACAAATGGGATCAAACCCACAGATTAGCTCACAAGAAGAAATAACATGAGCCCATCTTCTCAGAACAACACTTACCATTTACAGCAAGCGTGAGCAAAGTGGATCAAGGGAGCTCAACACCAGCACAATTAGCTTCTGGAACTTATTGCCACAGGATACGAAGAAGAACAAGAACTTAACAGGATTCCAAACAGGATTAGTTGTGTATGTGAATAAAATGCATACCCAGAATGAGAATGAGACACCCACCAGTCCGGGAAACAGAAACCCTGGAGCTTCAGAGCTTCAGCCATGTTTTAACACACATCAGGAGCTTCCTCTTCTGCAGATTCATCTTCCCCCCATGCCCGAGCCAGGGACAGGACAGGAGACGTGATGCTCTCAGGGGATGCTCTGGTTGTCATTCCGGGTTGGCAATGCGTGCTCCAGGCTCCCTCCCCAGCCAGGCGAGCTGCGGGTGACAGGTCTTGGCTGAGAAAGCATTCCGAGCACTCCATGCTTCTTCATCAACGGCTGCACTTCACACATGGGTTTTAGAAAGCATCCCCATCACGACGGAAAGCTGTTGGATTTACAGCCCACTTCCAAAGGGAAAGACAAATGGGAGTTGTTTTCTCCAGGGAAATGCTGATGACACCCATGAGAAGCTGTTTGACTTTCTTTA